GTCCTGTAAAAATGGATTCTTGCTTCATATCTCCTGAACTTACCTAATGATTGGGAGACAATTTGAAAGTCTTGTAAGTCTTGTTCTTTTGTAAATCTGCCCTCACCCTTAAATAGCAAATCTAAAGGCCAATTATCTCTTTCCAGATTTACTGTTTCTTCTGGGACTCACTTCTTCTGTGTGCATAGTGACTGAGATCATAAAGAAGTTTGAAAGAAGCAAGGAAAAGATCCAGAAACGTGGAAGTTCTTCTTCGTCAACTTCGTCTTTTCTTGATGTATGATGCATATTGCATTCTGTTGGATTGCTGTCTAAAGATGTAGGAGAAAGCAAAACAATATTTGGAGGATAAATAAATCCTGAGGGCTTTTGACAAGCTCTTTGTTTCACTGGCTAATGATGAACGTTCATGTCTCAAGACTGTTTAGAATTTAACTTCCAGCTGTGGGAGTTACAAATGAAATTATGCAACTTTGGTAACATTTTTCCTCAAACATAACTTTACTTTTGAGATTGAATGGGATTTTGTGTGTTGGGGGGGGGGGGTTAATTTAACGAAACATCTAAGCCCAAGTCCCATTTTCTGCACTTAAAATACATAACTGTGTAAAATCCTTCTCTTAGATATAAATATTTTAGTTTGTTTTTATTTAAAACATTGTACTATTTTACTTTTATGGTGGTGGGACTTTGCTACTAATACAAGGATAAAAAAAATATTTCAGAGGCATTCCACTGGGTTTAGAGTCTGTCACAAGAGTGCCATATTCTAGCTACTGTATTTATTTACTTTATCCTGCAATGTGTAAGCGGCTCAAGTACCTTGTGCTACAGTTTTTTTTTGTATCCCGAGTTTGGTTTTTTTGCACAGGATGTGACCGCTGTCGGATCACTGTTTTTCTTTTCTTTTTCTGTGATTGAAAAGCCTATACTGCAATTTGAAGTAAATGTTTGCTTTTCTTAAATATGTGTTGTCTCTTCGTTTTAAAAGAAACCAGCATTTACACCAGATTAGCATGGTTGTTTTGATATAATTTTAGATACAAGCTTTGTTTCATGTCTTGTTCCATATTTACTTTAGTTTACGACTTTTAGATCACTTCAGTGATTGTAAGACAGTACTGCTGAAATGATTTGTAGATGTATTGAATTAGAAATTGTATTGAATTAGAAAATGAATGCATTAATCCTCACTCTAATGGCAAAAAATCCCACCCATCTTTCAAAGAAGCTTGGTTTTCCTTTCTCTTCTTTCTTCCACCCTGATCATAAAAATAAACTTTTTACTGGTAGCATAACTTAAAGTTTTAACCTACAGAATGACTTTTTTGGCTAGAAAAGCATTATAATAGATTCATATCTTGATATTTTGAAAGTATTTTTAATATATGATAATGTCTGGATAATATTTGCTAATTGGAAATGATGTTCTTCCTCAAAATAGACTTGCAGCTGTTGTCATCAGTGTCTTCTCATCAGAGTAAGACTCATCATCCCTTGGAAATGTAAGGAACAATCACCTAGGGAATCTTGAAACGAGTGTCTCTAAGATCTCTAGGGGAAGTTGGAGATGAAATGGTATCTCTTTTGCTTGAAAGCATGTGGATACACATCTTTTTCACACTGTAGCTTGGGAGTGTAGCATTGGTGTTGGCTCTGGGCCATGCTCTCACAATGGGCATCCTGTTAGTTCATGAGGAATTGTCGTAAACTGTTGGAGTGGGGGATGGATCGGCAGTAACAATGTCACCTCAATATGAGTATAAATCGTTCTCCCTTATTAGTCAGCAAAACAAGGTTTATATACCAAAGCAATTACAGCCTCTGATTGGTTAGTTACCCTTAACCATATATGGGCACGACTGCTGCGATTGGTGCAGAGCGTCATCTCGACGCGGAAGCGACGGTAAGGCAGGAAGCGGCGAGGAGGCAGGAAGCGGCAGTGTGGCAGTCCCCCTGCGCCAGCGTTCCGTGTTTGCCACTTTACCTCCTCAGTAGTGTTCCGCGTTCACTGCTTTCCAGGCCTATCTCTGGTACAAAGCCTGGGTTGCTCAACGGCACCAAACTATGTCCCCTCTCGTCCAACCAGTACTCCACACAGACAGATAGTAAAAACTGACGATGCATGCTGATGAAGCATCTCTTGAACAAACTTGGGCTTTGAGAAAGTACAGCAACTAGACTTTTTACACAGTAAGTCTCAACTTGTTGATGTTCTTCTATGGGGTTTGACTGCTTTGTGCTCTGCCCTTGGAATCCCAGAAATCCAGGTAAGTGCAGAAGTGCAGATGAATGCCAGTTTGTGGTCTTAGCTTGGGAGTGTTACTGCCTAGCCTTTAAACAAATTTTATGAAATACCCCTTTCCCAGCACAAGTCTTACTTTGAATAAGGTATGTCAGTCTAGACAAGAAATAAAATGTCCGTCTCTTGAGAACAATTTTGCTGCCTTACAGGGTGAACTTAATTGCATGCAATTCACTTTAAATATGCCAAAAAGTTTTGCTGTGTTTTCCAATGGAAGATGAAACAGTAGTAATTCATCTGGCTCAATCTCATTATTTTTTAGAAATGCTTGGACTGAATTCCATTGTCCTTTTTTTGGCTCCACTCTTGATCATTACCACTTAACAGCAAGTTTGACAGATTTTTCTCCAGAGTAATTGAATCAATAGTGGGATTTTTTCACAAAAATTAAAGGGTGTTTCATGTGGGGTGGAAATAGGCAGCAACCAAGGAATTCAGTATGGAATAAAGAACTTTACATTTTTCCTAAGCAAAGGCCCTTTATTTTTTATTTTTCCTGCAAAGAAGATTGAAAACCTATGATTCAAAAAAGGAAAACTGGAACACTTGATTTAAATTCTGTGTAGTAACCCTAGAATCAATAATTATTCAGCATACAGGATTGGTGTTTGCAGTTTATCAGCAACAAAGAACAGCTGAATTCTGCGTTGAGAACACATTTCCAGTAAAATAATTCTTAATCATCGAGTCAGTACTCTCAAAGGTATTCTCAAAATGCCATGTGATCATAGCAGTGTTTTTATCCGAAAGTGAAATATTTGAGTTCATCCCCAGTCTTCCCAACTATCTCATCGAAGATCCTGCTTCTAAGCAAGTCTCAAGAATTTGTGCTTCAGCAGTTTTTCAATATGTGATTCAGCATAAATTAGGATCTCTCTTCTCGCAGTACTAAAAGTTGAATCACACACCTGTATTTTTATAAGACTTTATTTAAATGTGACTATTTTTGATGATTAAAAACCATAAAAGAACTACAGGATTGATGAAACACATGGGATCATAATGGATCAGAGGATGGTTTGAATGGTTAAGAATTTAAGTTTTAGTCACTAAAATCAAGAACTTTAATCCCTTTCAACTTTAAAGTCCTCTGATGGAAATGTGACTAAACCATTGCATATAGAAATGGGTCGTGAAGTTCTTGTAACTTACTGTATGGTTGAGCATAGGTGCCATCTGCTGGTAGTTTAATAAGTAGCAGTTTTTGTACTGGAAAAAATTCTATTGCAGACTCTCAAAAATAGTTTTCTGATTAATGTAATAAACGTTATAAATCTCTTATTTCATATATTATGGAAGTATCAAGACTCAGCTGCATGACACGAGATCCTTCCTAAGTCACAAGATCTATTGAGTTACTTCCATGTGGATAGTTGTCAGATAGGGGACATAAGCAGGACTGAAAACTGAGCACACAATGACGCAGGAATCGGGACTCAGTTCTGGTAAGTGGTGGGCAAAACGTTGATGATTAAAGGTGGAAATCATGATTTTCCTGAATGTGAGAAAAGGTATGTGGATTCTTGAGGAGAAAAAACAGAAATGTAGTCCTTAGCTTTCACATGGGGAAGACATTGGAAAACAAAGTTTCATAAGAAAAGCATTTATCTAAATTGACTAATTTTGCTCAAAAGTTAGCTGATGCAAAGTACTGAGAAATACTCATGATGTGAGATTTTTTAAAAAATGGTTTTCAGTATTGCCACGTTGATGTTAAGGGTTTGTCGAGTAACTTAGTGTACATCAGGGCAAGTTAAACAGGTCTGTAATTTTAGTGTAGCCATTAGAGAAAGAAGGTTAACTCGAAAGATAACAGTTTGTTAATGGCAGAAGATTGTACATAATTACTCTGACTGGCAAACCTGTGGAAACTTGCTACCATGTGGTAGTTTTGTGTGTGCATGTAAGCCTTTAACTCAAACATACAAAAGGGGAAGGAACAGATGCTGAGCTTTCTCCCTGGGAGTATATATGTAATACTGCAAGCACAATTTACTCAGTTGTCACTGAGTAAAGGTAGCTCTCCAAAAGCACAAATAGTCTACCTGTAAAGACTGATACTACTGAATTTAATTTCCATTTTAATCTGATCTGCAAGATTGTAATCACTGTGTACCTCAAAAACAAACTTAAAAACCAGATTTTTTTTTGAAATTAGAAGTGGTCAAGAGATGGAAGGATAGCCAACTATAAATGTTCAGGAAAACAATTCCTCTAAAATGGTCCAGCTCTGAAATGCTGAACAACTTTGCTCTCATTTCCAATTAGACTGATATCTTTAAAGAAAGACAAACACCACCATTTTTATACAACACCTCTTTATAAGAGTTCTAGTTACAAAAAAGTAAATTAAAAATTCCCTGAAGCAAGAATTGTTGGTAAAGATTAAAACAGGAACTTGTGTTGAAACAGCTGAGCAAATTCCAATAGTCACATACTTCAATATTTCTTCCATCTGCGTGGCATTAAAAATTATTCCAGGAATAACCCTTTCACTCATCTACTCCAAGTGATGCAAACCTATTAACACTGCATAAATGCTGAGTTTCTGGTATAGCACACCTGATGGCCTTTTTTTTCTTACTGGATGCTTTCTTCTTTTTGCAGGACTCAGATTTGGTCTTGGTCATCTTCTGAAAGAAGTCTGGAGATACAGCTGACTCCACTGTATTTAACAAAACCTGATAAAGCTGAGTCATTTTTGGAGATAAACTGAACAGGTTTTCCACTGAAGGTGTTGATTTAAGCTCTTGATACAGTCTGTGTACGAGGGTCCCAGTGTAAAGGCTGCTCAAAGGAACAACAGAATCCTCATTTAGAATCGCACCTCAGCAGGACAGGTACAGAAACATGCAGCTTAATGAAAAAACAGATCTTGACTACATACAGTATCCAACAATGGGCTCCTAAGGGATACCTATTCTACTCAGTATTTTTCTCCATATTAGTATCTTTAAAGAAGGGAGTTCAAATGTGGTAAAATTAGCCAAAGGAGTCTTGACACAAAATAAAAACATGAACACATTCCATCAGGGCTTGTGTGGAAAGCCGATTTCTGAAACATCCTTACCTACTTAGGTCTGGCTCAGAGAGAGGAGTGCCAAGTAGCTGGTTGAGATGCAATGCCATCTGAAGAGAGCACTGCCACTGGCAAAAACTGTGTGCAGCATCTAAATCAAAGTCTTCGTTTTGCAGTTTCTTTTCCTTCCATTTTAGAAATTCATTATATGCAATACTGTCATCTTCAGCACGTAAAACTGTGGGATCTAGGTTATAAATAAAAAAATGACACGCAACTAAATGTTCTGCTGTGAACAGTACAAAAGGTACCTGCAGTGTATAGGATCTTCAAATCATCCAGTTCTATTTCAGGAAGCATTAGTAATGTTTTCAAATGTCTCAAACTGAACTTGGAAGACATAAAATTGAGTAAAAATTCAAGTATGAATATCCATGTGAATCTGAAATCAGGCATTCTATTTGTTAGGTAATTTGCTACACCATCCTCTGGATCAGTTTCAAACAAGATTTCCATCTCACTCCTACCCACTTGGGAAGCAAGTGGCAACTACATCAGTCCAGTTCCTAGAAACTGGAACCTAAAGAAACTGTATAACCCTGGCATGTATAATCTTTGCCATCAAATGAAGGACTCCTAGAGGAAATGCCACCACTAGTCTTAATAGGTATAAGTATTACTGAAACAATTTCTGTGATAATTTAGTACGTTCACATTCTCTCAGTGTACAGCCAGGTGAAGGGTGTCTGTCCAATTCAGCACTTTTAATTACAGATGATGTTAGAAAAACTCATGACAAAAAAAAAATCTATTGGAACACATCAATAGTAATTACTCTCTTTTGATGCATGAATATGTTAAGCTTATTTTTTCTAACTTTTATATCTAAATTAATCTTTCGGGCCTAAAGAAAGCATTTATAAATGCCAATTAAAGTTTTACAAGATGGCAAGGTACTGGTTTAGCTATATAAAATGTTAAATTGATGGCTAGTACTGTTTCTCTGCTCTGTATCAATGCAAAGACTGTGATACCTCAGGATATAGTGTAAATCAATGCTAATTCATCTGAATTTAGATAACTAGCCACAAATGAGGAAAAATGAATTATGGTATAGATTTTCATAGTAGTTGAACACCTAAAACTGTATTCCTTAGACACATACCTGGATCATTTGTTATCCTGTGCAGTTCTCCAGATACTATCATTAGAAGTAAAGCCTTTAACTGATGCAACTTAACTTTTGGTTCTGAACAACATACCCAGTAACATGTTACAGCAACAGGGAGTTGTAAGTGACTGGGGATAGGTTCTAGGGAACTCATTTTCACTCTTAGAGTCTCCAGCAAAAGCATCTGACGGCACAACATGGGCACCTGAAAATAAATTTAAAAATTGGAGTGGAAAAATAAAGGTAAGAGACTTTATTTGCTGTGAGCAATTTCCAAAAGGTAAATAAGCTTGCGTTTAAACTAGCTAGTACTTCATATTTATGATAACAAATTATTTAAGTTTCATAGACACTCTGAACAGGAAGTATTTTTTAAATACTACTTAAGCTTTAAAAACTACACAGTTAAATGTGAGGTAGAAGGATAAAAGTAATTTTTTACAATTGCCTGTGGTTAGATTTTAAGACATCTCAGAGTCATCTTCAAAACGGGTTACTTAAACTCCTATGTAAAAGTTGAATTGCTTAGAAAATCTTATAACCATAATGCATTTATATTTGCCATATCGAAGTAATTTTTATACATAAAAAACTTCATTTTGTGCCTTAGAAGTTACCCTTGCTTTGTGAGGTGTAGTGGTGGTACCTATTTGTGATATGTTGAAAACATGCTTACCTGTAATCACAATGAAATCTTAAGTGTGAAGCTTGCATTTTTCACCTGTAATGTATTAATTCCTAGCACGTTCCCTCTTTGTTGTGCTATTTAAATTCTATAAAGTGGTGTTACAAACTTTGTCCATAACTTCATGCATGTAGCAGAATTGGAGCAGGCTCTTCGACTGTAATTTGAGTGCTTTGTGAACCCTGATTACGATGGTTTTGCCTGTTCTTAGTCAGACATCCCCACAGTAGAAGACAAACTGAAATGAATTTTGTCTAGAGCACTTTAAATGCAGACTAACCTTTCTTCTCCTACACTTCTGTTGAATTGATAATTCTCATGTATTTCGTAAAGAGTTCTTACAACAGCGGAAGCTCAATTTCATGAAACAAACAGCGTATGTACCAAGACCAAATTAAGGTGTCATTAATGTTTCTTAAAATCTCAACACAGGATTTTTCAAACTCTAAAGTGTTTGTATATTGCTCATTTAAAAGGTCTGCAGCAATAACCTGTGTAAAATAACCTGTATGTAGGCCGTTGGATCCATAGCTATCGTTAGCATTTAATGGCTGTAGTAGTGATGGACTTCGTTCTTATGTGAAATGGCCACCAGCAAGTGATAAAAACATACAGCACAGCCCACACACAGAGATGTGTTAACAGTTGATCTGAATGACAGAATGGATAGAGCATGTGGCTTAAACATGGAGTACTAGAAGACACAGATTGTGCTTCCAGATGTTTCAGAAATTACCGGATACAAAACCACAGTTATGCAACTCTGGGAATGGGAGATTACTTTCCATTCACAGCAAGAGTTAGTCTTAATAATCAGAATTTAAATACACAGAATTGCTAGTGGTGACTGGAACTAACCTAGTACAACTTTCCTGTGACTACAAGCTGTTTTTCAGGTGCTGTTCTGTCTGGCAAGCAGCAGAGGTCCACGTTAGCAGGATGCATACTTGCGGCAGGTAAAATTGCTGGGCAGCTGCAAGATTCATACATTAAATAATAGTGATTTTTAGTAAAAAAGCATGGGTCAGATTTTGTTTCAGGACATTCCTCTGAAGCATCCATAGCTATTATTATATACAAATAATATTATTATACATAAATTAAGTTTTGTAGCATTACACGGCACTTTTCTAGATTTCATGAAGTTGTGTTCCTTCCTGTAATTACAAAGGTAAGTATTAGTGTAACAGGATAGGATGAAAGCAGGGCATGCAATGGGAAATTTAGGCAATACTACACATACAGACAACCAACTTTTCATGTAATTTGTCTTGGTACACTTGGGGGGGAGGGGGCAGGAAGGGAAGAAGGCAGAGGTCACGGATGTAGCTTCTCAAGTATCACAGGCCAAGCTCGGAGGCCTGCAGGTACCTCTGTATTAAGCAGTTACTTACTGAGGTGGTTTAGTTCAGGCATCACAATTAGTGACCAGTTGACAAATGTGAGTCCCAACTATTTTTTGTCACTCATAAAACACTGTTAACTGTGATCTGTTGTGACAACCATTTACCTCCATTAACTTCTCCAAAGGAAAATGATCATCACAAAAATCTGTGGGTAGGCTTGCTGCTTGAACAAATGTTTTCTTAAGCGTCTTTTGAAGTCTATCAAACTCACACACAACTGGCAGTTCGTTGGCCTGCTGACTTGGAGAAGCAGCTCCAGCATTTTGAGGTACTTTCAGCAGCAGTCCATAGATAACTTGTCGAATGGGCAAAGCTGTGCTATGGGCGCTAGGTCTCTGCATGTTCTCCACCTGAACGTGGAGGAAGGTGCTCCTCAGTACCAGGGCATCGCTGACGAACGGGGCCAGCTTACCTTTTGCCAAGGCATCGAGCACCCACTGCGGCAAGCCTGCTTTCCTGGCTGCCTCACATTCGTACCTCCCATTCTGAAAGAAGTCCTCAAGCTTCACGTCGGACGGCGTGTAATCCTCCATCGAAGCACACAGAAGCGCCCTCATCTCTTGTCTCTGGTGTTTCTTAAGGTAGGTCAGCACGTGGTCGAGGGCCTCGCTGGGCTCGCTGAACTGCGCCAGCCACCTCAGCAGGCCACGGAGGCGGCCATGCTTGCCCTCCCTCCGTGGCCAGCGCACCTTGCCGAAGAACGCCTCCAGCGCGGCCGTGTCCACGTAGTCGTTTCCGCTCATGGCGGCGAAGAGGGGGAGCAGGCTGCTGTTGGGGTGGCTGAAGTGCCTGCAGAACTTCTCCACCCAGAAGCAGCGAGCGGGCACGTAGGGGCCCTGCGCCCCGTCAC